TGGGTAGAGTGCTGTGGCATCACAGCTCACAGCAACCTCCAACTCCTGGGCTCAAGCGAGTCTCCTGCCTCACCCTCCCAAGTAGCTGGGACCACAACGCCAGGCTATTTTTTGGTTGCAGCCATCATTGTTGTTTGGCAGGTCCAGGCTGGATTCAAACCTGCCTCCTTAGGTGTATGTAGCTGGTGCCTTAGCCACTTGAGCCACTGGCGCCCAGCCAAGGAGTTCTTTAAATAGAAAAATTCCTGAAACTTAATATTGCTGAGATAACTCTTATGATAGCAGCGTTTTACATGGACGTTTGCTTGGGTGTATAAATTTATGTCCAACGTTCTTTTTCTTATACACTTAAAATTATACTACTTCCTGTTTTCTTGCATCCATTTTTTGTTATTATGTCTGATATCCTCCTGATCCTTGTTTCTTTGCTAGCAATCTGCTGTAACTTGTTCAAAGCTTCATAAATTTCTGTCTCTGATGTTTTTGAATTTCACTCTAACATTTCCAGGCATAGGCTTGTCTTTGTATATCCTGTTTGGTGCAAAGGCAGATCTAGCAAGAAAACCCAGTTGCACACACACTTGTGACTTTCTTGAACTGCTCACCCTTCTTACCCAGGTGACCTGGCCAAACTGTCCTGGAGTATATATGTCGAGGACTCTTCAGCCAGAGGTCCGGTTTTTTTGCCAGGAGATATGTGAGATTCAGTATAAGCTCACTAATTAAAAACACTTTATGTTGTAAGATCCATGTTGCATGGCTCTGCTAACTGAACACTTTTTTGTCTGCAAGGTATGTCTGTTGGCAATTTCTTCCACAGGTTTTATTTCATCCTCAGAACTTTGCATTAGAGGGACATCATGTGGTAGCACAAGGTTACGCAGGCAGGCTTGTCAGGAACGTTCTTGGGGAATCACTTTTTCTCTAAAGAGATCAGCTCTTCAGTTATATGATGCACTTTTTCTAATATCAAATGTTGTTATCTTTTTATACCCCAATACTATTTTATCACTGTGTGATGGATTAAATTGTTTATATGGAGATAACTTTTCAGGATTTTTAAAAGGCTGTGTTTGAAATAAATAAAAGGAATAACAATTCTGTAGGCTATCTTAGGACATACATGGATCAACACTACAAAAATTCCCCAGTGGATATCACTTTTGAGAGTACCTTAAATTTAAGGCTATTAAAATTTGAATCCTAATCACGTCTCATGCTGTGAGCTCCCACATCTTAAAACAAGGTAAATTTTTATTTGGTTATCAAAAGCAGTAATGGTAATCTTGACTATTAAGCCCAGGAATAGCACCTGTGAAGCATAAACATGTCTCCCCAACTTGACAATGCATGAATGTTAACTGCGTATGAGCTAACGTTAGACCTTTATGATTAAATTTGTTTTTCTGGTTTTCTGGTCAAAATTATTGATGTTATTGCATGTGCACATCTTTTTATCACTGTGTTCTAATACTGTGCATTGAACACATGGTTCTTTATGGGTGTGGAAC